CACCTTTCCTTGGGTGATTAAGACCGGTCCCTTGGCAAAGGTAAGGGTCGTCATGGTGAGGGACTTGTGCACGTTGGTTTTGACAATGTTCAATCACTAAAACGTCGATTAAGGGCCTAGAGTACTCTATTTAGGAAACCAAACATACACTATTCTCCATATTTGTCAGTTCTCATGACCAAATCGTCACATAATCTAGATAATATCCAGTTTACGAGTTTGGCTTTGAAGTTAGCGCTTAAGGGCTTCTGAGTTAGCTTAATGTAAGCCTGAGGTTGGTGTCGTATTATCACACCACCCACAAAAACACATTTTGGGGGAAATATTCGGTTGCATTTATCAATATTAGATTATGGAAATCACAAAACATGAAACTAAATGCCAATGGAAAATAACTTCTCTGTCATCTTCGAACCGTCTAACTTCGGTTTATATCACCACTGAATAGGAATGTAAGTCGAATACTTCAAGGACAAAGAGCTAAGTACCCAAGTAAAACACTGCATCTTCTTCTTTGCAGAAATAAACATAAATGAATTAATAGCTCAGAGCAAACTGAACGCTTTTTTCCTATACTGACCCTTCACCTTCAACTTCGCTTCTGTCAATCCTGACGCGCTGTTCTCGAATAATTGTCATTTCTTCTCCAATTTCCTTCATTCTCAGATTACACTGAACTTATTTTCCATTAAGTTGTTGCCACCAAAATACTAATACATGTGATCTGGTGAAAAAGAGCCTCAATTTGCATCAACCAATCAGCGTCTGAGTAGGCTTTCGTGACGTCATTAACCAAGATGAAGAGATATGTTCAGGTTTGACCGTTAATGACACTCATTTATGCATCACAACGTGTCCTCGTTAAATAAATTTCCCCCGAAATAAACAAACTTGCACAGCCACACGACCATGAAGTGTATGAAAACCCAATCAGACATGACGTTCTATGAATTATGCAAGAAAGAATATACGCGGTAAATCCTGAAGAAAAATGATGAATCATAACAAGATCACAAACAAGTATTACAGCTTCATGTGTTTTACCAGAAACAAGACACTTTGCATTTAAAGTGAAAATCCCCCGACCAATTTCTCGAAACAACTAATCCATTACCACAAGGTCTTATGGAAATTAGATGGAAAAAACGGAAAATGATAACACTCTCCATACAGTCTTCAAAATGTCTTTGAACCGTCGAGTTGACATTATACTGCAAATACCAAAAAGATCCCTTCTTGGTTTTCGAGCAATTTTGCTCTAAAAGCTATTTATTTTACTCTTCCTGTAATGAAATTATACATGTTTTTTCTAACATTCTGCCTTTTGTTGCCGATATCTCTATCCATTAACAGGTTTTTTTTCCACACAAATCTATTATTTATAGCAATGGTGGTTTGGTAATGTTATTTACCTTTTTACCTATTCATAACTTTTTGCATATCGGCAACTCAATACCTTCTTAACGAATTATGCAATTGATAATAATTTGCCATCGGGTTAAATTTCTATACCTGTTACCGTGAAAAATTCCTCAAACAAAACTCTTCAATGACTACACGCCTTTATAATCTTTGCGCAATTCTAAAGCATTTATCTTTTTTGTTATTTATCACACTGATTCAAGTTAAATATAATTATCACAACAAGAGATCCGACACCTTGCATTGCAAAAGCAACAACAAAGACGAAAAGTAATGGTCTTGTTTTTTTTTTTTTTCGTTTTTGTGTGTGTATAAATTTACGAACCTCAATCGGTTCGAGAAACACCCAAACAATGGCCAATTTTCAACTACCTTGACTGGGATTAGCTAAGCCAGCACCAGGTCCCTCAGGGGGCAAGTTGTTCACGTATCAGTCTTTTATAAGACTTTCTCTGCAAAATTAAAGTAACGAGACAAAGAAAGATTGTTGGCACATTGACGAAACGTTTACGGGCACAATATAATAATCACTGAAAGTGTATTTTATTTTCAATGAAACAAAACTTGTTCAAATGCACAATTCATAATTGATCAAACCCCGGCAAATAAAAAACGCTTGTATTTTGAAAAATGCACATCTCCTGACGTCATGGCGAGTTGTTATGGAACCAAAAGCCAAGGAATTCTGAGGCAGTGAGGGTAGTCATCTCGAGTGTATTTCGCAGCCTCGTGACGTCATAGCGGGTTGCCATGAAACCTCTGTCCAAGGAATACTGAGGTAATTAGGGGCAGTCAATTCTCGGAAATATGAATTGGTAACTTTTAACCTGAAAACAAGAAGAATGTAAATACTTGTTTGAATTCATCCGTCCGTTACAAAAAATCAAGTTCTTGTGTTTTCCTTCTTTAATGGAGATTATTTCCACCGCTATATCCAAGAATCTCATGAATTTCCAGCCAACACAAACGCCTCTTCTCCTAAGATAAGTAAATTAGATTAAATACGAGACAAAAAAAAAACTTTCTCTGAGGAAATTATTTAACCGGCTAGGATTTCAAAGAGGAGTACGAGCTGTCCAAAATAACAATAGGGGGCAGAAAAATAGAGCATTCTTAATAAAGATAAAAACACATCAAATTAGGGGGCAGACACTAATGATTGGCACCCACAGACACATACACAGAGGAACTACTTTAATTTATTTTTGATATTTTTTGGAAGTGTAGCTCTGCTGCAAGCAATGTGAAGTTCTATCTTGGATAGAAATGGTACTTCATGAATAAATCACGTTTTAGTATTACAATTTGTGAGAGGGTAACTTTTCTGAATCTCAGAGCGCGTTTTTAGAACAAAAACATTAGCATTTCGTGCGCCTTCAGGTGTCTCATCTGTTTCATCATCACCAAAACAACTAAAAACGATTTTCGAATACAAGCCGGGCTAATTTGAGAGAAATTTTCGTGCAATTCTACAGTAATATTTTCGATTGAATAAAATACCATACTGCAATAACCATTTAATGCCCATTTATAATATAAAACGGAAAAAGATTTGAAATTACCAGGATCAAAGAGATGAAATATGCAAATTTCTGACGAAGAATTAGACCAATTGTATGCGGTTTAAGAGTTATGGCTTAATCTTGAGAAAATCTGAATACTTAGATGGTCTGAAAGATTAAACGATTAATTATGCTTTTCATCTGAGGTTGGGGATGTCCCATTGGTCGATTTTGAATATGGAATGGCTTAATCAGATTTACCGTGGTACAAGATTCTTTGAAGTTAAAATGATTTCATGTTACTTTTATATACTGACGTGAACTTAAGGGTTGCTCGGTTCAATTTAATTCTTATTGAAAAGGTAAGTAATTGTTTGAGAATGCTTTTATTGGGTACATTTAGAAATTTCTAAAGGGCTCTGCTTAAAACAGAATTCTATACATTAATGTTTTCTCGTGCACGTTTTTGCTTATCAACAAGGATGGTTCAAGCTGCAACTCTGTAGCAAGGGAAGACCAGCTAAGCAAATTTTTAAGTAGCTTGACGTTCAGGGATATCTGTAATATTTCTGTTGATTCGACTCCACACAGTTTGCTTCAAGAAATCTTCTGTTTGGCCTGAGAGATTGACACGAATTAAAATCGGTTTAAATCAGACAGAAACACAATCAAATCGAGATAAGGTAGATTAAAGAGAAACGTCATATTAAGAGCCTCTGCATTGGATAGATACTGACTAATGTTTTTCCGTTTCTGGATTGAAGTCTTCGCGATCTTCAAATTGAAAGATAACATAATCTATGGCTGACTTCAATCGAAAATATCAGTTTTCGTTGGAGCCGAGTTTCATGTAAATCTTACACGAAGATTTTGATTTCCATCCCAGCGCACTTCTCAGATAAAATCAGGTAGACAACAAATATCCAGGAAAAGTTCGATTTTTTTCATTTTCCTCTAAAATTTTATTTGTATAATTTATCACACGGACATCTAGGTTACGTAAATAATCCTTTGTATTACAATTTACTTCTTAAACTTACGACATGGTTCTCCATCTCATACAAAATGTAGATTATCTTTCTTTGTTTGGTTATAATGAATTTTGGTATTGAATTCTTTTTAAACCATAATGTAAATGGACCTAGAGGCAATGACTTTGTTGTTGAAATTGTTTGAATTATCATTTGCAGTTTTTTTATGAAATAAGCATTCCAGCGGCTGATTTTGATTCCTTCGATTCTGAGTTTTTATTTTTTCAATAAACATCAACAGCATCATATTCTGATCGCCATCACGGAAAAAAAAAACAACACACGTAATATTCTCTCAATTTCATCGTATATTGTTTCTTTACAAATTTTTAAATGAAACATTTTGAAAAATGTTTTAATTTAAGCTTGATTCATCCAAAAGAATGAATACTTGTGAACGCTGAAGAAGAAATTATTTAAGTTTAGTCAAAGAACAATTAATTTTTTTTTCATGATGTCGGAGTTTGTATTTCATGTTTTTATTTTTAGTTCTGTTCAAACTGTATGGCGCTGACTCGGCTTTCTTGAGATGAGCAAAGTCTTGCATTACTTTATATTTACACTAACCTGTGATCAATCTGATTCGTAACATTTCTATTCATTGCTTTGAAATGTTTCTGATACTAGCCACACTGTATCGCAATTCAAACTGTCTCAGATTCAAAACCAGAATCAGTTTATCTCAAATGCATTATAAAACTCATTCCGTAAATTTTAAAAGTTTTGCTTAAGAGATAGTCTTAAGACCATGTTTAAGTTTCCCATGCTTATTAACAAATTTTGCTGCTTGTTAGCACCAAGGAAAATTTTTCAATTCCTAATTACACTAAAACAACCTTTTGCCTGAGGTTCAAATGACACGAGAATAAATTCACCCACGACTCACTTTCCTCCTTATTCCGACGAATAACTACAGAGGCCCTTGCGACTATAGAGAGTTTATGTTGAGGAAAATTTTTAAAAAATCGCATCTTCTTTTATTTTTTTTGGTTGAAAACAATTTTGAGTGTGTATTGAAAATCTGCCAAGACCATGACGTAATCCATTAAAAGAAATATTTATTCACATAAACGACAACAGGGAAACGGCTCTTAAGCTTCGAATTTTTTTGTTGAACTGAATTCGAAATGTAGAATACTTTTCAAAAAGGTAAGTATCCTTGCTTATCTAACTTAAGACATTTAACATTTTTGTTATTTTTCTTTTTAATTATTACTGATTGCTAACTAGGAGTTTTTTCGCACTTTTGATGAGGAATTTTTTTCACGACTCTAACAGTAACCATGAGTATTTGCACTGAGGGATTTTCAGCAATTTCCAGAATTAAGGATCGCTCCCAAGAGACACAATTCCTTCTTCTGAGTTCCTATTTAATCAATCCAACCGTGCGTGTTTACAAATTTGAAAATTTGATAAATTCTGTTTTCTGTTAAAACTTTAATTTTTGGCAAAATTTCCAAACAGTGATGATAGCTTTTATGAAATATCTTTATTTAAACTCGCGATCTTAGGATCGACGGGAAGAAAAAGGTTTCTGAGAGGAATAGAAATTGTTAACGTTTGAGATACTAGCCGTTCGAACTCTCGGTCACTGACCGTCGAGAAAATTGAGACCAGTGAAGCCAAAAGCCAGGTATTATAAATGGTAATTATAACCAACTAAAAGCTTCCGAATCCCATTGCATGGTACGAGAATTTCAAGCACTTACTTTGTCTAGATCTTGCTGTAACCCCGTTAAAAACATTCCTTGCTGAAGAAATTCTTCCGCGTTAGTATGTAAGTTGGCGGGAATATTTATGCAGGGTACGTAGAGACCAACAGACTTTAGTAAATACCATGTGCTTCAAAGTATATTTAACATATTTTTTAAATAGTTATTCATCAAATTTTGTTGTTGTCGACTGTCACAGACCTCATAACTTGTCTACTTTCATACGATTTTACGCCTTAAGTCTCAATGTCGCAATGACACCAGTTTCAGGTGACAAAACGAAATAACATTTCCTGCCAAATATATTCAACGAAAGATGAAAGACTTGAAAAATTAACATACTCGTTTTTTGGTTTCTCCATCATAAACTGAATCGCAGAGAACGAACAGTTTTACATAGATGTTGTACAGATGTTGTTACACGGATGTTGTTGGGTCCCCTTCCCCCTTCGGACTCCCGTGCGGAAGGGGGGAGGGGACCCGCAGGATTTTGGTTTTGTCACGATGAAATTTGCCTGATTCCCCCAAGTTGCCGTTTTCTGATC